TGCACAACTGCAGGCATGTGGAGGATGCCAGCGTCATCTGTGCAGGTGGGTGGGCAGCTGTTCTCCCTCAATACAGCTTGGGCGGAGCAGCAAGTTGGCACTGAGCTGATGAATGGATTGCAGAGTCCAACACTTAGGGCCGGACTGGGGGATACATCAGGCTCATGTCTGGATGGAGGGAAAGGTGGGACAGAGCTCCACACCATCTTTTCCATTCAATCCTCCAGCCTGGTTTTTCTTGTCCATGTTCATGACCATGTTCACATCCATGTTCACACCTTGCCCCAAGCCTGTTACATTCACTGCCCTATTGTTCACTCCATCTTCTTCTTTGCAGTGGCACAGCCAACACCTCCTGCTCAGGTTCAACTCACAACAGGTAAGTCCAGATCCACCTAATTTTAAAGCAGGGCCCCAGCCTGTCACAAGAAGAGAACAAGGGAGTCTCACAGGGCTGATCAGTGCAAGGCTGCTTGTCCCCTGTGCTTATGACATCTGCTGCATGCATGAGCGTCCTCCTCAGTGAATGGGTCACCTGCAAGGGTAGCAAAGGACTTTTTGGACACATGACCCAAGATGCTGAGCATGTCTTTCCCCAGGAAGCTCAATCAGGACACCAGCAGCAAGGGCCAGAGGAGGTCACATCTGCCATCTGTATTCCCGTGATCTTTTCTCAGTCACTGCCCTCCCCTGATCCCCTTAGTTCTGCACCACCCCAGATCACGGTCAAAATCTGTACAACAGTAGGGGAGGTGGTGGGGACTGTGGATGCTGGGTTGCAGGGACTCAAACCAATGCCTTGTGCCGTGTGTCAGGAGGCAGCGTGCGGCTGGTGGGCGGCAGGAACGGCTGCGAGGGCCGCGTGGAGCTGTACGACGGCAGCACCTGGGGGACGGTGTGTGACGACCAGTGGGACCTGCAGGATGCCCAGGTGGTGTGCCGGCAGCTGGGCTGTGGCCGGCCCGTGGACGCCCCAAGAAATGCTCGCTTTGGCCTGGGCTCCGGCCGCATCTTCCTGGACGACGTGCAGTGCCGCGGTGACGAGCCCTCCCTCCAGATGTGCCAGCACAACGGCTGGGGCGTGCACAACTGCAGGCATGTGGAGGATGCCAGCGTCATCTGTGCAGGTGGGTGGGCAGCTGTTCTCCCTCAATACAGCTTGGGCGGAGCAGCAAGTTGGCACTGAGCTGATGAATGGATTGCAGAGTCCAACACTTAGGGCCGGACTGGGGGATACATCAGGCTCATGTCTGGATGGAGGGAAAGGTGGGACAGAGCTCCACACCATCTTTTCCATTCAATCCTCCAGCCTGGTTTTTCTTGTCCATGTTCATGACCATGTTCACATCCATGTTCACACCTTGCCCCAAGCCTGTTACATTCACTGCCCTATTGTTCACTCCATCTTCTTCTTTGCAGTGGCACAGCCAACACCTCCTGCTCAGGTTCAACTCACAACAGGTAAGTCCAGATCCACCTAATTTTAAAGCAGGGCCCCAGCCTGTCACAAGAAGAGAACAAGGGAGTCTCACAGGGCTGATCAGTGCAAGGCTGCTTGTCCCCTGTGCTTATGACATCTGCTGCATGCATGAGCGTCCTCCTCAGTGAATGGGTCACCTGCAAGGGTAGCAAAGGACTTTTTGGACACATGACCCAAGATGCTGAGCATGTCTTTCCCCAGGAAGCTCAATCAGGACACCAGCAGCAAGGGCCAGAGGAGGTCACATCTGCCATCTGTATTCCCGTGATCTTTTCTCAGTCACTGCCCTCCCCTGATCCCCTTAGTTCTGCACCACCCCAGATCACGGTCAAAATCTGTACAACAGTAGGGGAGGTGGTGGGGACTGTGGATGCTGGGTTGCAGGGACTCAAACCAATGCCTTGTGCCGTGTGTCAGGAGGCAGCGTGCGGCTGGTGGGCGGCAGGAACGGCTGCGAGGGCCGCGTGGAGCTGTACGACGGCAGCACCTGGGGGACGGTGTGTGACGACCAGTGGGACCTGCAGGATGCCCAGGTGGTGTGCCGGCAGCTGGGCTGTGGCCGGCCCGTGGACGCCCCAAGAAATGCTCGCTTTGGCCTGGGCTCCGGCCGCATCTTCCTGGACGACGTGCAGTGTCGCGGGGACGAGCCCTCCCTCCAGATGTGCCAGCACAACGGCTGGGGCATGCACAACTGCAGGCACGTGGAGGATGCCAGCGTCATCTGTGCAGGTGGGTGGCCAGCAGAGACCATCAGAAGGGTTTTGGGTTCCTTTACTGAAAGCAGCCATGCTGACTTCTCTTGGCAGAACTGTGGCTGAGTGATGAGGTGGTAAAATGCAGATGGAGAGATTGTAGGGAGGGAAAGGTGGAGCAGGACTGGGAACACACCAAACTGATGTCTGGATGGGGGAAAGGCTGGACAGAACGCTGTGCTCAATTCCCTATTTAGTCCTACTGCCTGGATTTTCATGTCCATGTCCATGTCCATGTCCATGTCCATGTCCATGTCCATGTCAATCCATTGTTACAATCTTGCTGCGTTCGCTACCCATTTGTTCACTCCCTGTTCTTTGTTGCAGCCACCCAGCCAACCCCTCCTGCTCAGTGGCCTCTTACAACAAGTAAGTCCAGCTCAGCCAGCTTAAGCCCGCTTTTAAATCCAGCACAATACGAGAAGAGGGGAGTCCAACAGGGCTGATTCGTGTTGGCACAAGGCTGCTGTTCCCCCTCTGCCCCTGACATATCCAGTGTGTATCAGTGTCCCCCTCAGTGAATGGGCCACATGCAAGAGTAGCACAGGGCTTTTCTGGACATGGGTCTTGAGCACCTCTGTCCCCAGGCAGGTCCAGCAGGCCCCAGCAGATCCCTGGACAGGGTGCGTGTGCCATCTCCAGACCCAGGGTCTTTCTTCAGCCACTGTCCCCTCCTAGTCCTCGGGGTCTGCACCACCCCAGGTCACAGTCACTGTGGGAAAATCTCCGAAATAGTAGGGGAGTTGGTGGGGGCTGTGGATGCTGAGGTGTTGGAGAGCTGATGTTGTTCCTTGTGCCGTGTGTCAGGAGGCAGCGTGCGGCTGGTGGGCGGCAGGAACGGCTGCGAGGGCCGCGTGGAGCTGTACGACGGCAGCACCTGGGGGACGGTGTGTGACGACCAGTGGGACCTGCAGGATGCCCAGGTGGTGTGCCAGCAGCTGGGCTGTGGCCGGCCCGTGGATGCCCCCAGAAATGCTCGCTTTGGCCTGGGCTCCGGCCGCATCTTCCTGGACGACGTGCAGTGCCGCGGGGATGAGCCCTCCCTCCAGATGTGCCAGCACAACGGCTGGGGCATGCACAACTGCAGGCACGTGGAGGATGCCAGCGTCATCTGTGCAGGTGGGTGGCCAGCAGAGACCATCAGAAGGGTTTTGGGTTCCTTTACTGAAAGCAGCCATGCTGACTTCTCTTGGCAGAACTGTGGCTGAGTGATGAGGTGGTAAAATGCAGATGGAGAGATTGTAGGGAGGGAAAGGTGGAGCAGGACTGGGAACACACCAAACTGATGTCTGGATGGGGGAAAGGCTGGACAGAACGCTGTGCTCAATTCCCTATTTAGTCCTACTGCCTGGATTTTCATGTCCATGTCCATGTCCATGTCCATGTCCATGTCCATGTCCATGTCAATCCATTGTTACAATCTTGCTGCGTTCGCTACCCATTTGTTCACTCCCTGTTCTTTGTTGCAGCCACCCAGCCAACCCCTCCTGCTCAGTGGCCTCTTACAACAAGTAAGTCCAGCTCAGCCAGCTTAAGCCTGCTTTTAAATCCGGCACAATACGAGAAGAGGGGAGTCCAACAGGGCT